CGTATTTAAATTCAAAAATGTCTTCTGCGCATAAATGAGGCTCTATGCTGCATGCCTTTTAAGATATTTTTGCCAAACTGTAAGGCAAATGAATTATCACTGAGTAAGCAATCCCATAATTCACTGTGAGAAGCGTGGTGAACAAAGTGAGAGATTTGTGTCACTATACTAGTCGTCAAACTCTATTGAAATCAAACTTCTGAGCACTTCATGTGAATTTCTTATACACACTCTTAAAAATAAATGTGCTTCACGATGCCATAGAAGAACCTTTTTGTCTAAATAGTTACATAAAGAACCTTTAACATCTGAAGAACCTTTCTGTTTCACAAAAGGTTCTTTGTGGTGAAAAAAGGTTCTTCAGATTACAAAAAGGTAAGAAAGAGATGGTTCTTTAAAGAACCTTTGACTGAACGGTTCTTTGTGGAACCAAAAATGGTTCTTCTATGGCATCGCTGTGAAGAACCTTTTGAAGCACCTTTATTTTTAAGAGTGTAGTGTGTTCAAAATGAGTCTTATATGAAGTTCCATTTCAGCTAGTATGCTGCCTGTAGGCAGTAGAAAGCAAGGTAGTTCACTATATTTTGGAATGGAGCTAAAGTGTTAGAAGTGAATTCAGATCTTGACCCTCACGTTCCATGAGTTTAGAGCTGTCCTGCCTTTGAGGTAAACAGGAGCTTGTAGGAAATCCATGAGCGACACTAATAACCTGCCACTTATTTATAGATAGGCTGACTAAACAGGCAGATTCAGGGGGGGAAATGGAAAATTGGTGTCACAGACTCTGAATCATTGCAATGCAGTTATTTTTTCCTATATCAATCCGGAACCCAAACCCAGCTGTGAAGAGCAAGTCAGGACAACTGCTTCGTGAAAGGTAATGGGCTGCTATTCAGTTTTGCTCCTCAATCTCCAGGTTTTTTGTCAAAACTGCTGTTCAGAAAAGATCGTTTTTTGATGTGAACAAACAAGTGAATGCATACAGTACATCCTGTCATAGAACAGGACTATGCTTTACTGGACACATCTTGCCAATTTGCCAATAACACTGACTGCAGGCTGTGCGTATGCTAGTCAAAAATAAAATAAGCATTTGGGCTAATGCAAATATGATTATGCCTGGAAGATAATTGCCATGTATCTTACTTTGGTGATTTAGGGACACCATGGAGTCTCATTTAGAGCATTCTGTTGTTGATTTAAATTGAATTTGTTTGGATAGCTGAAGTTATTTACAAGCTGGAACATGGCTCCAAGCTAAAAGTCTATCATCAGATTCAACAGACAGTGTGAAACAAAGAATAAAAGAACAATAAAAACCAAACTAGCCTCAAGTGTGCCTTAATCCAGTAAATTATTTATTTTGACAAGGTGTGCTTATTCTTTGCCCGTGGAATTATTCATTATATCTGATGATAATTTGAAACAAACAGATATTATGTAACACTTAGTTATCAGCAAAGAGAATGCCATCTCTCAGCCTGAGTGCTTATAATGTAGCTTAAAAATAATAATTATCTTAAACACTAACACAACATGACATATCAGTTTATGGTTGTTTACTCTTGAGACATCTGGTAAGTTAACTACAGTATATGACATATAATAAGCTGACTGTTTTTAATGATGAGAATTTTTTTTTTTTTTTTTAATCTTGTTAAAATCAATATTCAAGTAATTTTATTTATTTTATTTTAGTTATATTAAATATAAAATGTTATATATTTAATTTCGTCCATATACCCAATATTCATATTTTGAACGAGGAATACATTTAATGCAGCCAGAGATATGAGAAACATAACTGAATAGTTCGCCTCCGAATTCATTCGCTTCTGCTCAGCCTGCTCTAACAATCATAAAGTAATTATCCTACCAATATAAACATATTTACATTGACTTTGTCTTAAGTTTCCTCAAGTTTTGTTGTTGTCGTCTGAAATGTAGGAGAAACTTTTCCCAATTATCCCCTCATAACAATTTCCCCCATTTAAAATGAAGAAGACTCTTCTCTACACGCATCAACAAAAGACAAAAATGGAGCATTTGGCACAACTGAGCGCTCTGCAAACATGCCTCTGTTGTCTTTACATCTCTGTTTCTGGCGCGTGGTGTTATAAGCTTGTGACATATTCCAGCAGCATCTGTTCCAAAGCAGTGGGTTTAACATCCACCGTGCCAGAGCGCAAATGAGTGTGTGTGTGTGTGTGTCTGGAGGCAAAGGCAGATGTTTTGCGTGGAGATGGTTAGTGTGTCTAATCTGGGTATTATTCAGTAGACTGTGTGGGTATAATCACCCCTAACTCTCTCATGTCTCCGAGCAGAAACAGGGGAACGATAATCCAGCATCTCTCCCCCACCCCTTATATAACAAGCCGTCTTTCTGTCAGTCCAGCCTGCTTACACTTGTTTTAAAAGTCAAAGGAAATAGTGCTGAAAGAGTGTGGATTCTCTAGTGGTTCGGTATACTTAAAGATGAAAACAGCAGAATTCAGAGGGATTAAGACTAGTTTCATTTCCTCGTAAATTATCCTCTTTGCTTTCTGTGGTGCACGTTTGATTCAGTGGAAGTCGACTCAGCTGTGAGATTGTGGCAGTTTGACCTTGCGGATCCATTCTACTGTGCCTTGGCTTAATTACCCATCAGTCTTCAGTACTGGAATGTGATTTGCATAATTTTGGAAAGCAGTGAATTTGCTTCACTCACAAGAGACAATGGAAAATAGTGTTAGCCTATTGTGAAGAGGTGGAAATGAAACACTTAACATTTTTAAGAAAGCAATTTTGAGATGTTATTGTGAATTTGCGCAATAAACTCTATTTGATTAAACAAAAGTAGGCTATCCAACTCAATCTCATGAAAAAGCCTGACTATTTTATTAGGTAGCGATTTCATTTTATTTCTTACAATGTGATTAAAACGGACATGCATGATTTCAGAAAAAAATTTAAGAACCCCTAAACCTAACCACCAAAAGAGCGTATATAAGGTTGCATATAAATTCATATGAAATAGCCAGTTATTGGCCAAAAAACATTACAATTATGGAAGCTTGTTTCCACCTCAAGAAAAAAAGGCAACTTATCTTGCAATTCTGATTTTTCCCTCACAATTCCAAGTTTATATCTCACAGTTATTACTTTTCTTGCACAATTCAGAAAAAAAATTTAAGAACTGCAAGATATAAAGTTAGAATTGCAATTCTGAAAAGAAAAGTCAGATTGTGAGATATACGCTCACAGCTGTAAGGAAAAAGTCAGAATTGAGAGGAAAAATTCACAATTACTTTTTTTTTATTCTATGGTGAAACAAAAGAGTTGGAATTCTGGGATGTAAACTCAGAATTCTGAGGAAAAAAGTCAGAATTGCAAGTTATAAACTCAAATGTGTGGCTTAAACTGGGAATTGCAAGAATAAGTCAGAATTCTGAGTTTACACCTTGCAGAATTGTGTCTTAAAAAACAAAGTGAGAATTCTGAGATAAAAAGTTGCAGTTACTTAATTTTTTTATTCAGTGGTGGCAATGGGCTTCCATATAAATCAGTTCTGAATAGCAGTGATAGTGTGTTGAAAGTATCATAGTGTGAATGCATGTTCAGCTGGCCATGTAACCCATTTTTCTAACCCCCCACCTCCATCTCTATGCATTTAACTGACTCAGGGCCAAAGTAATTTACGAAAGACAATATACACTAAATATTTACACTGCGCTTTTGAACCACATACTTTCAGACTTGAAAAGAAAATGCATGCTCACTGATACACCCAGAACATAAAAGCACAGAAACGCAGGGTGTTTACAAAACCTCATCTCTGATGAAACCAATGTTTTCTTGGAGAAGTCCCCGAACCACAAAGAAAAAAGGCCCAGAAATGAAAGCATTATTATGTTTCGATCATATAAGCTGGATTCCTGAAACTTTGCCCGTAAACAAGCTTTGGATCATGCAATCGGATTGTGTTGTCTCCTGTACAGTCTCTTTAAACGCTCAACTGCTGCATTTGGAAATTCTACAGTGTCTTAAATTGTTTGCGTTCAGCAAGAGTGGCCTTTTGTGCACTTCTTCCACAAAAGATGGAGCACAAACAATGAAGTAACTACTGCATAAAAAACTGGAACATTGTGTATAACACTGTTATCTTCAACTGTACTCTTGTGGCTTTCTGTCGTGCTCAGGGAAGATTGGCTTGTGCAAATATTTGTTCAGTTCATTATGCATGATAGCTTCAGTCTAACTGTTCAATTAAGTGTCAATCAGGAGGATTTTAATTGGAGTAGAAATTTTCATTCAATTGTAAAATCACATAAATTTGCATAAATGAACTGGGAGTGCAGAGTTTTTCAGAGAACAGAAGCCTCTCTCTTAGAGGAATGACATAAATATGATTTAATCTCATAGCCATGAAAATATTATGTGATGAGCATTTGTGCCAAAACATCTTGACTATTGAGATATACTCAGTAATCCTTGTTAAATCAATGTAAAGATGATATATTATGGTAGCTGTAGTTCTTTTTTTATTTTACACTGGACAAAGCATTTTATTCATACATACAGGGTGATTTCTACACATTAAATGGACAATATTAACATGTATGAGCACAACACAGAACATCAGAACTTCTGACCTACATGGTCATCCTGAAAACCATTAAAATAATCAGATTTATTGCTTTAATAAAATATTCTCTGGCTTGTTTACACAAACAAACTAAATATAAAACTAAAATAAAACATTCCTCATGCTTTTTCCTATTTGTATATCATGCTTTGTAAAATGACTCTGGACTCTACAAAGGCGCTATAAAAACAATAAAAAAAACTAAATAATAATTCCATAAGTCAATGCATGATCACTAAAATTAGGTATTAAAATATCTCAAATATTTTCAAGGACAAACAAAACAATATTTATGCCATAATCCAAGAAAAAGTTTAGATTTATATATATATATTTTTTTTTTAATGATTTTTATACTGTATATATTATTTGGGCAATTGCTACTGAGGATGAAGGAAAACAGAGATACAATAAGCATAAAGAAAAAAAACATTTGGCTATATTTGTAGCCAAAACCTCAAAGCAACCTTAATGAGAACCTTTTTCTATCCTTCAACATACAGTATGTCTCTAACATACTAAACAATTAACAGATGTTATTGAAGTGTCAAAGTTGCTCACTCCTAAACTAAAAAAAAATCACAAAAACAGCACCATAAATAGCAAAACACTAAAATGCCAGATGTGCGATGAGTGATTAATATGTACTTGTCATGTCTACAAACAGCTCTACATAAACAGCTCTTCATTTATGTAAATCGCACCTGTGTGCTTTCATTCCTGGAATCATTTAGAGCTCATATGCATACATTAGAGCCTTACAAACCTTGAAGCTTCAACAAAAATGCAATTACATGTACTTGTTTTTCTCCACAGCTTCTATGTAGTCCATGGAATATAGTCCATTCTCCTTCCGACTGTTGTCATAGCAAAACACTGGCTGTCCATTGTGTCCAAGGGCATAATTGGAAGATCTGGTCCTCCTTAGTCATAAATATCAGCAGTTCTTAACCTTCTTGACTCCAAGGCCACCCATTGTCCACAGCAATTTTCAAAGGCCCTTGGACTTATTACTAAAACTAAGACTTTATTTCCAGTTTTTCTTAATTGTTTTACTCAATTTCTACCTGATAAAATAAATATTTTATAGCATTTTAAGCATTTACTAATTTCCAACCATTTAGTATTCCAGGTCTAGAAATCACACTTTTACTAAACCCTCATAAATTCATGTTTTCCAAGACTGTAGGAATCCTGTTTGTTTAATTACAAAGATGTTGATGGGGTCAAAAGAAAAACAATATCTTCATTTGAAATCTTTTCAAGTCCTCTTGAGGCCCCCTTGCAAGTTTGCTGAAGCCCCTTAGCCCCAGCCCCCTGGTTGAGAACCACTGCTGTATATGGATTCCATCAATAAAATATGTGATTTCTCAATAAACAGTAGCATACCTACACAAACCCACAACCACCCTGTTTTTCAGATGTGTTCATGGGAAAGTAATAATGTTAAAGGGTTAGTTCACCCAAAAATGAAAGTTATGTCATTAATTACTCACCCTCATGGCGTTTCAAACCCGTAAGACCTTCGTTCATCTTCGGAACACAAATTAAGATATTTTTGATGGAATCTGAGAGCTGTCTGACCCTGCATAGACAGCAGCGCAACTGAAATTTTCCCAAGTCCAGAAACATAGCAAGGAGATCTGTAAAATAATCCATGTGACATCAGGGGTTCAACCGTAATTTTACAAAGTTACGAGAATAATTTTTTGTGTGCAAAAAAAAAAAAAAAAAAGACTTCTATAATTCGTTTGCTGTTCTGTGTCAGCTGTGGCACACGGATCTGTTTCCTTTGACACAGCTGACACAGAACAGCATACGCTGTTTACGTCCAGCTGATATTCTCCAAAATGGCGCTACAGTGTGACGCGGATTAATAAAGTAGTTTGTTTTTTTTGCATACAAAAATTATTCTCGTAGCTTTGTAAAATTACGGTTGAACCGTAACGGTTGAAAAATACGGTTTACAGATCTCCTTGCTACGTTTCTGGACTTGGGAACATTTCAGTTGTATTGCTGTCTATGCAGGGTCAGACAGCTCTCAGATTCCATCAAAAATATCTTAATTTGTTTTCCGAAGATGAACGAAGGTCTTACGGGTTTGAAACTACATGAGGGTGAGTAATTAATGACAGAATTTGTTTTTTTTGGGTGAACTAAGCCTTTAACAATGTCCTCTCGCACATCTAGTTAAAGGGATAGTTCACCCAAAAATGACATTTTACTCACTTTCATATCATTCCAAACCTGTATGACTTTCTTCAGTAAAACACAAAAGAAAATATTTTGAAGAATGTCTAAAAAGTCATTCTTCAAAATAAAGTCTATGGGATCCATTGAATTTTGGACCTCCAATCCAATTGTTTTGGACCTCATTTACTAATTTTATGGAGAAAAAACAGTTCAAAATATCTTCTTTTGTGTTCTACAACATTAAAGTTGTATAAGTTTGGAACAACATGAGGGTGAGTAAATGATGACAATTCTCATTTTTGGGTGACCTATTCCTTTAATGAATTACATGAAGAATAATCACTAGTGTACAGTATGTACGTGTACATACATGTACGTTTCCATTCCATTCCGTTCAGGCCGAGTCCTCAGTTGCATGATCACAAGCATCCAGAATAATTAAGGACTTTTTGTCCTGTTAATGGTCAATAATACTCTCTCATGCCGGACAAAGATGTCTTTGGGCTCTGACTACGCAAGCGTTGAGCCCGAAGCGAAATTCTGCCCAGTCTGTCGATCTCATGCTGGCTGCCGAAAGGGTGCGTGACCTCCCAGGCACGTGGACGCTCCTCCCAGGCCAGTAGGGGAGGGTGAGAGAGCAGGTACTGGCTGGAGTGATGATAGTCGGGTCTGGATCGGCCCTCGCTAAAACCCAGCGGATGAACAGTGTCGTTGTCATAGTGATCTGGGTTACGGTATTCTTCATAAACAGGCGAGTTGTCGTCGTCCAGCGTTAGAGATGTGTGGAAATCTCTCTGGCCCTGGTATCGTTGTAATGGGTAGCCAGTCTGCAGCGACAGGGTGCTGCCATCCAACCGGACACTGCCGCCCAAGCGGGTCGGGGTGCCACCTAGCCATGTAGGGGTCAGGAGAGGTGGGGGAGCAGGAAGGGGTGGGGGTGGAGGTGGTGGTGTAGGGGTCTGGTCTCGAGGCGGTGATTCCAGTCCTGGGAGACACGTGTCAAGCCACTCCTTTGTTTGCCATTGGTAGGCTGGAAAATACATGCTGAGTATCAAAAAGTGTCTGAGCATATGCAACTTTCATTATATTCAAATGTATATATGTCACATGTAAAGTACTTAATGTATGATTTTATATATTTATATATTTGTAAACATTTTCAGCAGCCATTCAGAAATCATTCTAATATGCTGATTTGGTGCTCAAGAAACATCAATGTTGAAAAGAGTTTTTGCTGCTTGACTTGTACTTCTTGTTTTTTTTATATTATATATTTATAGTACAATAAATGAACTTTTCCACAACATTCTAATTTATTGAGATGCACCTGTATATAGTTCAAATAGTTAAATAAAAAAGTGACAGTAATGACAAAAAAAATCACACATTGAACACTGAGCTTACTTGAGTTGATCTCAAATGAGCTTTAAATAATAAAAAAAAAATTAATGAAAAATATTATTATTATGAATAACAACAACAATAATAATAATAATTATTATTATTATTATTATTATGAATTCTGAATATACAGTATATATTTTTTTATTTTTATATTTTTCATTCTTTTAATTTTCTCTCATTTTGGATATAAAACTTAGTTTGCATTTTCTGCTCACTTGAGAAAAACTATCATGGGACCTTGATATTTAAATACACAAGATATAGTTTGGATATGAGCTTTAATCAAATCTCTACAGAGGCGGACAGTAACTAAGTACATTTACTTGAGTATTGTACTTAAGTACACCTTTTGAGTATCTGTACTTTACTTGAGTATTAATTTTTCTGGAAACTTATGACTTTAACGTCACTACATTTGAAAGACAAATATTGTACTTTTCACTCCACTACATTTCTATCAAGGTCCTCGAAGTAGAAAGTCGTTACTATGTAGCAGCTTTGAAAGTCAGTGGGTGATTTGTTTCTTCTCTAAAACGCGACTTTCTTTTTTTCAGACGGTTTATCAGTAATCACTTTTGTAGGGCTACATGAAATGATTTCCCAGCATTTTTTGAACACTGACCAGTTGCAAATGTGATATTTATTTACAACAATTTAATAATAAGAAGTTAATATTGTGGTATATATTAGACACTATATTGTCTGATTTTGCTAAATTGTCTAAGTGAAAATATTACCTATAAAGCCACAGAAGAACTGTTGTGCGTCTCCTAATAAAACACAATAGGTGTTGGACTTGAAGCAGCACTGCACAGACCGTTCTGTGTGTAACATCAAAGAACAACGAGAGCGATTAGACAGCATTTTTAAAATTTTTGTTTTGATGTTAAATAAGTCTTGCTGTTAAAGCAGTGTTGCTGTTGTAAAGTTGTACAGCTACAGCTCTGTTGCTGGGTTTTAAAGCAGGTTTGATTTTTTTTTCTTCCTTATCACTCTGTAGTTACAGGATTTCACTGTATTGTATTCAGTAGGTGTAATGTATTCTAAGTTGCTTCAGAAGTATTGCAAGTA